TGTATTTGACCAAAAAGTCAAAGTTTGACTTTTCAGTGTACAGTCAAATTTTGATCAGTTGACTGAAAAATTCAACTGCCAATCCTATGCATTTGAGATCTTTTGAACTTGTTGAATGGGTCAAGACAATGTCATTGAGTCCTTGAGTCCATGTGTGAGCTTGATTTTCCATTGGCTAGGTCAAACAGTCAAAAATTGCCTTTGTGCAGTCAAAACCCTAAAAATGACCGTTTTGCCCTTTTGGTGATCTGATCAAATTTCTTGTGGAATTGTGATCCAAACTTGATCAAATGGTTCATATGATTTCATAATGTTGATGTGGGTCAAATTTCATGAGGTTTGACTGTCAATTGGCCACAATTGACTTTTTCCCCAATACAGCTGGTTTCTAGGTCAACTGTCCAATTGACTGGGCAAAAATTTGAATTAAGGCTTGAAACTTGGTATGGACAAACTTGTGAGTCCAATATGAAGTATGAAAGTCAATTTGGGCATTGTAGGTCAAAACATCCCTTTGCAAACTAAAACCCTAATTTAGGTCAACAGTGCAAGGAGGTGTCCTGAGCAGGGCAAACCCTAGCTTGATCTTGAGTTCTAAGAGTCTTGTGATTGAGAAAATGTTGATGAAATGAGAGGGAAAATTTTGGGGTACAACAGGCATCTAACGCACTCAGCAATGGTATTGGTGTTGTACTCATATCTCCTGAAGGATGTAATACTCCATTTACGGCAAGACTTTGTTTCAATTGTACAAATAACATGGCAGAATATGAAGCGTGCATCTTTGGTCTCAAAGCTGCCATAGATTTGGGGATCAAATCCTTAAAGGTATTCGGAGATTTAGCTTTGGTTATCAGCCAGATCAAAGGGGAATGGGACACTAAACACCCTAACCTTATCCCTTACAAAGAACATGTGTTGACATTAATCCCACATTTTGAGAAGATTACCTTCGAGCATTTCCCGCGAGAAGAAAATCAGCTAGCAGACGCGCTAGCCACAATGTCATCCATGTTTAAACTTAAATGGGATAATGAGGCTCCCCAGATCATCATTGAACGAATGGATGAACCAGCTAACTGTCACGAGATTAATATTGAAGAAGTAGTGGACCAACCTTGGTTTCACAAAGTCAATAGGTATCTCGAGGCTCAAGAATATCTGGAAGGAGCTTCAATCAATAATAAGAAGTTCTTAAGGAGATTCTCTACTAAATTCTTCCTTAGTAATGACATTCTCTACAAACGTAACCATGACTCTGTGTTACTCTGTTGTGTTGACAAGGTTGAGGCATAAAAGATCATGGCTGAGTTACATGAGGGCACTTTTGGCACCCATTCCAGTGGGCATACGATGGCGAAGAAAATCCTACAGGAAGGCTATTACTGGTCTACCATGTAAGAAGATTGCTATCAACACTCTCGAACTTGCCACAAGTGTCAGATCTACGCTGACAAGGTGCACGTACCTCCGGTTCCTCTGAATGTCTTAACGGCTCCTTGGCCCTTTACTATGTGGGGCATCAACATGATTGGGGAAATCAGGCCAACAACCTCTAATGGACACCGCTTCATCTTAGTGGCCATTGACTATTTTACAAAGTGGGTTGAGGCAGTTTCCTTCGCTTCCGTTACCAAGAATGTTGTAGCCTGGTTCATTAAACAGAATCTCATCTGTCGGTACAGTATTCCGGAGAGGATCATCATAGACAATGGTACAAACATGAACAATACTATGATCACCGCCCTGTGCGAGCAATTCAAGATCCAGCATCACAATTCTTCCCCTTACCGGCCAAAGATGAATGGTGCTGTTGAAGCCGCAAATAAGAACATCAAAAAGATCATACAAAAAATGACGGTCACGTACAATTACTGGCATGAGATGCTACCATTCGCTCTCCACGGGTATCGTACCATAGCGTGCACACCAACCGGGGAAACACCCTACTCTATGGTATACGACATGGAGGTTGTCTTGCCTATTGAGGTCCAGATCCCCTCTCTGAGAATTATGAAGGATGCAGGGCTGAGTGAAGACGATTGGATCCAGACTTGACTTGATCAACTGAACTTGATTGATGAGAAAAGGCTTACTGTTGTTTGTCATGGTCAAATGTATAAAAAACGAATGATCAAGGCTTTCAACAAAAGGTCATACGCCAAGTGTATCAAGTCAGGGATTTGGTGATCAAACGTATCATACTGCCGCAAGGTGATCCCAGGGGCAAATGTACTCCTACCTACAAAGGACCATTTGTGATCAAAAACATATTCTCTGGTGGATCAATGATCTTGACCACCATGGATGGCGACGACCTGCCGCACCCTGTGAACGCAAACATAGTCAAAAGATACTACGCATAAGAGGCCTGCTAAGTTGACACACTTAGGCATAACAAGGGCATCCCGACGAACCCAAAGAGTTTCGGGCAAAAATTAGGGATAAAACAAAAAAATATGTACACCCGACAAGTTGAAAACCCAAAAGGGCGACTTGGGCAAAAAAGGGTATCCTGGTGGACTGAAAACCAGAAAGGGAGATCCAGGCAAAAGTTAGGGAATTAAAGCGTATGACTATGTCCTGTTGGATCACCTTATGGACAACCTGCAAACTAGACGGTTATGATCAATTCAATCAGCTTCGGACAAGGCAGCAAATAGATAAGATGCTTGGAGACACAAAGGCTATAGCAGAATGGGAACCTCATGGGATTATTTCACATAGCTATCTTTTCTTTGTATCAAATTTTCATTTTTTACGACAACATTCTCTTACTAGAATGTTTGTCTCATTGTACAAAAATACTTACTCAAAGTTAATACAAATATATCCCTTTAAAAGTAAAAAACTATCTATTTTCTTTACTCTTATGTTTTGTTTACAAAAATGTCCAATGATTTATTTTTGAACATATGCATTTGAACATAATTATTGTTTACAAACGAACAAAATAGAAAGACAATCACTAATGGCTTTAAGAAATAGGGAAATCTCTCTAAGTTATTTCCATAAAGTCCCCCACAGTGTGCAGTTTAATCCCCACTGGAAAACTTCCAGTTATCAATCCCCAGTAGAAGTCACAAATTTCTCAGGATTCCCAACAGGATTTTACAAGCAGTACACGGGGTTTCCCTTACAACAGAGTTTATTTCTCTAAGAGGAAATCCATCAACACTTCAACTTCACAACATGAACACTTACACTCCATATCCTCAGCAGCAGTCATGGATTTATTTTCCCTAATCCAACAGCAATGCAGCGGACTAGCTCACATACGCATATGTCACATCCATATATCATAAACATTGATAACACGAATGCATTTCATACAACATGACATTGCATATTAGCTAACATTTTACCCTTTTTAGGATAAGATTAATCAACAGCTACCATTAATAATGTTCAAATTTTTCAGATACATTTCAGATACGCTTCAGACACGGATGCCATTCTGATACTCATTCAGACCCAACTTTCAGATACAGTTCAGATACGCTCCAGACACAGATTCCATCCTGATACTTATTCAGATTCAACTTTCAGATACAATTCAGATATGCTCCATACACGGATGCCATTCTGATACTCATTCAGATTCAGCTTTCAGATACAGTTCAGATATGCTCCAGACACGAATGCCATTCTGATACTCATTCAAATTCATCTTTCAGATACAGTTCAGATACGCTCCAAACACAGATTCCATTATGATACTCATTCAGATTTAATTTTCAGATACATTTCAAATACACTTCAAACACGGACGCCATTCTGATACTTATTCAGTTTTAGCTTACAGATACGGTTCAACAATCATTTATGGATGGCATCTACAAGCCCATCTCCAACAACTTTCCATCATCCCTCCAAATGGCATCTTTAAGCCCATTCCCGATACCCTCAACCATCACATCACCGAGTGCAAATTTCTGGGCACTCTAATGTCCAATCATCTTCCACCTTCGAGTCACGAATGGCAAAACTCGCCAATCTAACTCTTCAGGCTTAAGAAGATTGAACAGGGGCAGCTGTTGTACCCTAAAATTTTCCCTCTCATTTATCATGATTTTGCCCACAAGATCTCCTTTGACTCAAGACTGCATTAGGGTCGATCAAGCTCAAGACACCTCATAAAGCACTAATGACCAAAATTAGGGTTTGAGTTTGCACAAGGATTTTTGAAATTCCAATGTCCCATGTGACTTTCATGGATCATTATGGACCCTCAAGATCACTCATGTCAAGTTTCAAGCTTTGAATTACACTTTTGCCCAGTCAATTAAGCAGTTGACCGAAAAATCGGTTGTATTGGGGAAAAAGTCAACTATAGCCAATTTACAGTCAAACTTCATAATTTTTTATCCACATCAACATTTTAAACTCATATGTATCATTTTATCAAGTTTGGACCATAATTCCTCAGGAAATTTGATCAAATCTTCAAAAGGGCAAAATGGTCAAAATTAGGGCCTTCCCTTTCCATAATCTACCCCTTACTTAGAAAATTCTCGAAAATGATTTTTTCCGTTCTTTTCACCATTTCCTTTGTTGGATAAAAGAAAAAACGGTGACAACTCTTGCTTACCGCAACATTTACGAATATAAAATATAAAATCAGTATATAACAGTCGGTTCTTCCATCGTATCACACTTCCGTTTTAAAATGAGTGTCGTTTTAAAAGGAAAAAATTGTTTCAAAATAAATGTCATTCTCACTTTTCAATGTAATAATAATAATTGGTTTTCCAATTATTTCCTTCAATTATTAGTTTGTACACTATTTCCAACACTTTAATAAGGCTAATTTAGTAAAAGTGAAATTTCTTACGGTAACATGGTTGCATTTCATAATCCATGTATAAAAACCTTAAACGATCCTCATTTTGAAATCCTCTCTCTTCCCCATTATACTCCCAACTGTCTTATTTTCTTTTCATAACACACCATCATCATAAGCAAAACAGAGAGACAGAGATAGGAGGGCATATAGAGATATGCGACCGAGGGAGACAAAATGCGAAGAACACACGGTGGCGGCCGGTCATCCTCACGACGGTGCCTCCGTGGATTTTTTAGATCACAATTTTTTTACATCAGAATGTTCAGATTCTCTCCTTCATCTCAAATCTGAGGTCCATTTTCTCAAAAGGTCAAGCAATAAGAGTAGATCTACAAAAGTCTATATGAAATTCTAGGTAAAAAATAATAACAAAACAATCATAGCAACACATAAGTAGTGGTGAATTTATGTTTGGAAACGGATTCTCAACCTTTTTGTGTAGAAAAATTGAAGAACAGTGGTGGTTGGGCGGTATCCGGTGCGGTGGAAGAGTATCCCGATGGCGAAAGATTTTTTCTGGAGGGTCTCGATGGAAGTTTCCGGTGAAGCTCGAGTTCCGGTCAGGGTGGAAGGTGCGGTTTAAAGGACCTAGGAGTGGCAAAACATCCGGTCATATGAGGTTTTCCATTGAGAAGTCCGTTTCCGGCGAGGTGAGTTTGTGAGTTTACTCAGATCAGTTTTGTTTTTGAGTTTTTGGTGATTGTTTAATTCGAAAATCTGTGTTCAATTCCTCCAGTGTCATTCTGAAATTAGTGTTTAAATAGTTTGAGATTGTTAGGTCTTTTTAGAGGAACAAAAGATTGGGTTGAGATTGTGAATTGGGTTGAAAAATGAAATTCTGAATGTCAAAATGTTTCTTCTCAAAATCAGGCCAAACCGAAATTGCTTTTATCTCCCCTAATTTCAACTTGTTTGCATCATTTGTATTTTCAATCTCATGCTAAATGGTCCGGACTTATATGATGTGATTTTGTTGTTGGAAGTATTGAAATGAACTTAATGAATTCTTCTGTTTTGTTAAGCTTTTAGTTGAGAAGCATGGGCGCTATGGTTTACCAACTTTGTGAAATGGTCTTGGCTATTTTGAATTTGAATGCTCTTGAATTGGAAACTTGGCTCATTTGATTCAATTTGTAGTTTTAAAGTTTGAATTGAATCCTTGAATGAAATGAGAACTTTTTCCTTAGAAATTGTCCTTGTGGAATTTATAGACTCTTGTGAACATAATTGAACTTTGAAAAACTTGCACTTGAATTAATCCACGCCTTGTGAATAATTTCATGTAAGCTTAAAATTTGATGTATCTTGGGTGAAATTGATTTTGAATTAAGCTTGATAATGTCTTGAATAATGCTTAGAATATTTGAATTCGAAATGAATTTGCCTTTATTTTGCAATGAATGAATTTGAATACCATTTGAATAACCCGATGGCTTATAATTTCTGAACTCGTGAAAATAATGCATTATCTCCATCTTTTGAATTCCAAATAGAAGCTTAGAATTAATTTTAATCCATGAACTCTTAAACTAAAAAATATCATACGATAGCTCACTACTTCCAATTTAACTCTTGACCAATGAAACTTCTCATAAAAAGAAACTCTATTGCCTTAAAAAAGTTATGGCGTAAATTGAAATTAGAGGTGAAAAATGACCTATAATGTTCTAATAGAATCCACAATTTTCTTAGCACAATTTATCTTCAAACCTTAAAGAAAATTTGTAAATAATGTCATTTGTGATATGTTGAAAAAAGAATAAACCCAAAACGAAGAAAATCGAAAGAGTTATGATCCTTGAAAGTTGGGCAAAAGTCACTTGAAATTAGGTCAAAATCAAAAAACAACCTCTAATGTACTCAAAATTTTGATGATCTTTTATACATAATTAGCTCTCGACTTGAAAAGAGAAATTAGAGATGATGTCAAGGATATTCATATGCTCGAAGAATCAATCAAAAATACTGAATAATGAAGAAGTTATGATTGTTTGAACTCGAACTTGAAAATGTTGACTTTTGGTTAACCCAAACTTGAATCAGCTTGCAACCTGATCTTTATCCACAACCCAAGGCACTCTTATGCACATATGAACTTGAGATGATGAAATCTTGGTTAAATCATGCTCACACTTGTCAGAACTTGATATTACTTGTCAGAGAAGGCATGGAAATAAACACATGAACCTATATCGAAGACTCTTGAGAATTGAGTAACCAAACTTGCCTTAATTGTGCTGAATGAAGCTTGAGAATAGTGTGCCCTAAGATTATAGATCACAACTCTGAAAAATAAGCCTTTGAGAACAAGTCTTTAGCCTGAACAACCCACAACCCTAATGCATGATCTTGATGCATTGTGATGATATGAAGTGATGAGGGATCTTAGGGGAAAAATTGGGGTATAACATCTGCCCTTATTTAAGTGTCTTCTATCCGAAGATACGAAGGTTAAAATCTTCATCTCGACGCAATTGAAGATACTTAAATATACAAAAAAAACCCTATTTTTGTCCCTAAGATGCCATGCAATTCTTATGATTTTGAATGTAAAAGACGAACTCCACGGCAATAATAAGACACCACTGGAAAAAGAAAAAATAATATAGACAGACTAAGAAATAGAGTTCAACCAAGAAAGTAAATCACTGGGGAACGACACGACTTTGGGGATAACCATGAATAGACAAAGCCAATCATCACAGTTAAAGGAAAAAATGCAAAGTAAGAATTTTAATTGGGAAATCCTTAACAGTGCAAGCAGCAAGCTAATCAAGGAGGTAATATTTTAAGAAAGGATTACCAACTCAACTGGAACAAGAAACTTGACTCTGATGGAGGAAAATCAACTCCTTTGGGGAAAAGAGGACTCAAATCTACTGGGGTAAAGTCCAAAGATAAACAATGGAAACAAGATTTCCATAAATGAGGTTAAAACAATGGAACACACCGACTAACAAAATACAGTTAACTACCAACTCACCAAGGAGGTAGAAAAAAAGAGAACAATATCGACTCACAGGGGATAGTAAACTACAAACTCGAAGGAGGAAGGTAGAAAAAGATATGGAATAACAGTAAGCATCAGCTCAATGTAAGTAGAAATATGTATCATAATAACAAGTTTCCCAAAGTTATGGCGTTCCACCCAGAACGGGTCTTAGCTTATTCTTTAACTGAGACATTCCACCTAAATAGGGTAATAAACTTCACCTGACTTCTGGATTTCACCAAGAACGGTAATTGTTTCTTCTTTGATCAAGATAATCACTTGAAAAGGGTAATAAACTTCACTTGACTTCTGGATTTCACCAAGAAGGGGAAATAGTTTCTTCTTTGACCAAGATATAACTCAGAAAGGGTAATAAACTTCACCTGGCCTCTGGGTTTCGCCAAGATGGTAATTGTTTCTTTTTTGACCAAGATATCACTCGGAAAGGGTAATAACTTCACCTGGCTTCTGAATTTTTCCAAGAATGGTAACAGTTTCTTCTTTAACTAATATATCACTCGGAAAGGGTAATAAACTTCGCCCGACTTCTGAAATTCTCCAAGAATGGTATCAGTTTCTTCTTTTACCAAGATATCACTCAGAAAGGGTAATAAACTTTACCTGACTTCTAGATTCCGCCAAGAATGGTAATTGTTTCTTCTTTGACCAAGATGTAACTTGGAAAGGGTGTTGTACCCCAAAATTTTCCCTCTCATTTATCAAATATTTTCTCATAAGATCTCCTTTGGTTCAAGATTGCACAAGGGTTGATCAGCTTAAGACACCTCATTAAGCATTGATGACTGAAATTAGGGTTTGAGATTGCACAAGGATAATTGAACCTTTAATGCCTCATATGACTTTCATGGACCATTATGGACCCCCAAGATTTCTCATGTCAAGTTTCAAGTCTTGGATCACATTTTTGCTAAGTCAATTGAGCAATTGACCTAAAAATCAACTGTATTTGGGAAAAAGTCAATTGTGGCCAATTTACAGTCAAACTTAATAATTTTTTATCCATATCAACATTATAAACTCATATGTATCATTTGATCAAGTCTGGACCATAATTTCTCAAGAAATTTGATCAAATCATCAAAAGGGCAAAATGGTCAAAATTAGGGTTTTGACTGAGAAAGGGCAATTTTTGATTTTTGACCTAGAAAATGGTTAATTGGTTTGAGGCATGATCTCAAGAGTTCAATCGCATCATTTTTACCTAATGGTATGACTCAAAACATTTCTCAAGATCAATTGGATTGATAGTTGATTTTCAGTCAACTGATCAAAAGTCAACTGTATACTAAAAAATTAAACTTTGAATTTTTGGTCAAAATCAAGTGTCAAAGGTCACAATTCATCAAAACATGTAAAAATATGAAACTTGTTCATCAAGAAATCAAAAAGTCAAGATTTCATTTTGAAAAGTCAAAGTTTCCAAACTTAGAAATTTTTCTAAGTGTTGAAAACTTCATGTTTTTTCACAACTTTGAGCCAATTTTTCACCATGATGCGAGATGATTTAGAAGAAACTTTCAACATGAAAGTTGTAGATCTCCATGAGACCTACAACATTTCTTTACACAACTCCTCCTATAAATGCTTGGATCTCAAGTTATTAATCCATGAAGTCATGGTCATGAAACAAAACACTTAGTGAAATTTTGAGCATTTTAGGTCAGGATTTTGACCTAACTTCTGACCCAAGTTTCACATAGTTCCATTTATATTTTGCAAAATTGATTCAAAGAGGGGTTATAGAGAATATTACAAGCTTTCCAAAATGTCCAAGAACTCCTTGAGATCATTTGTGATCAAGGAGAATCGAAGGTCAGAAGTTGGGGTTTCAAGTTGTTTTACAAGGCAAATTTTGTGATGAACAAAATTCAAATCTCAAACCTATGCTGCACAATCTTGCTTTGCAGACCTCTAAACCCCAATATCTCTCCATAATCAGAAGATTAAACTTGCTTTTGAGCTATTATACACTTGATTCAAGCTTTATCCAAGTTAATTTTCCATTAATGGCACAAAGGCACCATTGCCATTTACATAAAGCAAGCTTTATACAAAGTCAACTTGCATTGAGCTTTGCACTTGTTCCTTTTGCAAAATCTTCCTCTACAAAGTCAGATAAGTATGTTTAAAGTTCGTAATCACTCTACATGCTTGTACTTGCTGCCTTGAAACCATATTTCTCACTTTTCTTCAAAACCAAGCAATTGGACCATAACCCTACAACTCAGAAATCCTTTGTGCAAAAGCTCTCCAACCTTTTGCTTATAGAAACACAAGTCATATGCAAGAAAACACACGCATGCTCAAGCCCTGAAACCTCCTAAAACACAGAACCACCAAAAATATCTCAAAACTTGCCATTTCTGAGTTTTGAATCCAATCTCTAAATTTGCTCGTGCGTTTCTTGGCCTTTTACTTTTAAAAGCTTCTAAATAACATACACAAACAATTCCAACACCCGCAACACGACTGTAACACCTCCATCACCATCCACCATTTTTAAAAACAACACCTTGCACCTTGACTTCTCCAGAACTCCTCAGCCACTTTCAGCTCAAGCTAAGCATCACATTAGCTTCCTGGGAACTTGAGGAAGCTAACCCAATCACTTGAACTTATCAAAAGCTGCTCAAACTCAAAACACGATACCCTCTTGTAAGGTGAGTTTTCTGACTTTTGAACTCTTCATACAAGCATTATTAATGGTTTATTTGTGAATAAGAAATGTAGATATCATTGCCCTGAATCTAACCATGTCCTTAGATTTCATTATTATTGCCTGAGTAGTTAGAATTTTGAATCTGAACCTCTAAAAATAATTAGATCAGAATTTGGCACTTTCAAAAATTCTCATTCATCTTTGATTTAAAGTTTATGATATTTATATGGTTGGATTCGTATGAAAAAATGGAACAACTTTCATGTTTATATTTTCCATTTTTGTTGAAAAATGCTGAAGTTACAGGTGGTCTGGCTGGAGGTTGAAGATGAAGTGTATTCAGAACTTGTTTTGTATTATATATTTATCATTTCAGTTATATTAACGGATATATAGCCACCTCAGTGGTAAGGCAGCGCGATGGTAATCAAGAGGTCATGGGTTCCAACCTCA